CCGATGATACGCTGGTTACCGGGGAGCGGACTTTCAAGAGGCCGCGCGCCTAGCCATCAGGGGAGTTTCTCTGGTGGTCGGGCGCCTCAATGGCGCTGGGCTTACGGGTGTCCCTGGATAAGACGGAGGCTCTCTTGTTCACTGGGCCCCGTCGTGGTCCACCCCCCGGTGCCTCCATCGTGGTCGATTCGGTCCTCGTACCCGTTCGGACCCAGATGAAGTATCTGGACCTGATTCTTGATGAACTTGAGCACTTAAGACAGCTTGCTTCAAAGCTGGTCGGTGCTGTATCAGCACTAGGGCAACTTTTACCCAATTTGGGTGGACCCAGCGTCGCAACGAGACGTCAATGGCACGGTACGGTGCACCGGTGTGGGCGGTGGCTCTGACCGCCCAGAATAGAGCACGGCTCTGGCGCCCTTAGAGGATATTGGCGGTTAGAGCCATACGCGGTTACCGCACCGTATCGAAGGAGGCGGCGTGCGCATTGGCCGGTACTCGACCGTGGGATTTGGAGGCGGAAGTCGAGTGAGTGCCGGGCGGATAGTGGCAGTAGGCCCCCGCCCGAAGAGAAACACGAGTGCCGTGCCACGATGACTCGTTTGTCGTTCCGGCTGGGGGCTCCACGTGCTGGCTTTGCCGCCGTGGAGGCGCTCCAGCTGGTCATCGTCGAGTGGTCAGGGCGGCAGCACGGGACCCTTTCCTTCCGGCTGACGCAGCGCCGGGTCCTCATTGCAGTCATCGGACGGGATCTCTCGCTACCGGCCGTCATACGCTCCATGGCCGGTAGTGACAGATGTTTCACCGCGGTCGCATCCTTCCTTCGCAAGACGTCATCTCGCAGAAGGAGGCGACGGTGAGGGCCCGAGAGGACAACCTCAACTTGGATCCAATCCGTCATCGGCGAACCGGATCCGGATGTCTTAATAGCAGCGGTTCCTGGATCCCTCCTATTATTGGCGCAGAGTGGCACACCGAGTGGTTTTAGTCGGTCCGATTCTAACACACCATCCCGCCTTAAACCCCGGTGGGGTGACGGCCCGAGGGGGTCTCCACAGGTAAAAAAAAAAACATGGGCTCCAAAGATAGGAACCTCCTCACTATAGTGGCCGTGTCACGGAGGACTGCCTTCTGCATCAGACCCTTGATCCAACCGTCTAATATGAGCCTCTTAAGATGTTAGTCTAGGCTCTTGGCTATCAATCTGTGAGACGATACGACTATGTAAACAATGATCACTGGATCGACATTCCAAATTTCGGCAATCTCTTGAGATAAATAAAATATTTTATTTGTTTTTATTTTTCAACTTTCATGAGATCATGCGATTCATGAGGAACGGCGTATCAACTATCATTGATTGTATCAGAATCGATACTCTTCCTGACGTATCCGCAGAGTCGAGCGAATTTCTGTCTGCATGAACTGAACTTATGTCTGAACTTTTCAATAATTTTCTTTTACTTTACATATCAATGTCTAGTGCACATAGACACACATTTCAGCACCGCCCTAATGTAGACTGGTAGAAAATGCCGGTGGCATTAAGTCCGCCATTGTACAACTTTTACTTGTGCATATAGAAAAAAAAAATTGAAAATACAATATTAGATACAATTATCCTATAAATAAAACGAATATTAATTGTTCGATTAAGTTAACACAAACAAAACATTACAAAATGGTAGACCACTGATTATGACGTATGTAATTAAAATTACAAGGCATAGTAACAGATATAAGGTGCAAAGGTCCACTTTTCTGTACCACATCTGAGGAAAATATGTCAAATGAGCACGGGACTGACTCGTGGAACAAAACCGGTAATTACGATCGACCCACAAGACTATCGTCTTAGGCCCGTATTTTAAAAGGTGTCTCAAACGTCAATCTAGTCTTCAAACTAATTTTATGTCGAGATTTTATTATTAAATGGCACTTAAAACTAGATTCACCGATCTATTCTCAAGTGAGTGAAAATTGATTTTATGACGATGCTTATGTCGACATCTTTACTCAGGTATAGATTTTGACAGATGTCATCTTTGTTTACGTGAGATAAGCTGAAACTAGCCTCAAGCGGTGATTTATAGACCACAACCTTTTGGTTCATCTTTTATCTTTTTTTAAAAGACAACTCTCGCATTAGGAATATATCCTGTGTTGCGGGGGACTTTACAAACATAAATGAAACAGATACAAAGAACACCCAGATTCAGAACAAGAATTTATCTATTATACAAAATGATGTCCCATGTGGGGATCGAACCCACAAAACTCAGCGCAGTAGGAAGCGGCGAGGTGACCGCTTAAACCTACTACGCAATCCGTGCACATTATTCTAGTAATATAAATTATAGAAATTTAAAAATCAAAACATTGTTTGACAATTTAACATGACAAGTGTTGATAAATAACTTGAACGTTCCGCTATAGCTAATAACTAGTCATTTTTATTTTATAATTTGATATATTTAATTTTAACTTAAAACTAGTTTCAGGCAATCAGAGTTCAATCCATACTTGAGACGTCTTTTAAAATACGGACCTTAATGTGCTTGACAAGACCAACAAAAAGACAACTTAGCCGACTTTTAGTAAAAGATGACTTATAGCTTCTCTTTCCCTGACTGACTCGTCTGCTGCTACTGACGCCTTAGCCCTGTTCCTGCATACGTTATTTGCGGTGTCCCTTACTTCTGGCTACCTGGCCCGTTCTTCTTATTCTAATGTTAACTACTAGGTAACTTTTAGGTATTAAATATGGGCGTTAGGAACCGAATTCGTTTATTAATGCCGATATTTTCAATACTGGCTTCAGTCTAGTAGCGAGAATCTTGTTTCCTTAATACCGGCACTGTAAACCCTAATGACGCTAGTATATTCTTTGTGTGCTCAGCTAGTACTCTAAAGGGCGTCATCGCGTCACTTAGAATATGAACTTTTTCAGAACGTCAGAAATAAATATGACGTAGAAATTAAATATCCGTATAGTGACATAGTTACAATACCTGCACTTGTCGTTTCCTTATGAGATAGTTATTTTTTAACAGGCTTTACTTGAGAATCAATATTTATAAAACAATGGACTGAAGATGACCTTGAGAAATGTGTTAGAATTACTAAGCAGAAAAAGGAATGCCTGAGCTGAATGTCCTTTGCAGGCCGATGCACTTGCCTCCACGTTTATCCAACAAAGCAGTAGTAGCAGATCCCACAAGCCGAATGGTGTGGCAACTTATTTTGCTGCCAAAGTTTGATACGGTTATACGATACGACCTACCCGTAGGACATCCCCGACTGTCTGGCAATAGGTCCACTTGTGACGGAACACCGTGTGATTTGGTCCAAACACTGATGAATTTTGAGTTACTGTAGCGTAGATCACCGATAAATAAATATTTAGACGTTCATAGCAGTTACTCGCCAACTGATAATGAATTTATAATTATTTACCAGTTATCTACCTAACAACAACCTTCATATAGAAAGTGCAAAAAAAAATGTTAAGTGTGGTTGCAAAAAATGTTGATAACGAATTTTTATTTACATAATAATCCGTCATCACCATCCATTATGAAATAAAATTTACCTTAGTAAGATCATTTATGCTTTGCAGAGGTACCAGCAGCAGAAATAACCACAGGTCTCAGCAAAATGACTTATGACTCAATCGGACAGAAAAAATTCTTATGGTGATCATTTGGTAGTTTAGGCAAGCTGACTTAAAGTTAAACCAATGATTGGTAGCTCTTACAAATACGTTTCAAAGTCATTATATTAAAGGTTTATTAATTTTATTAATGAAGGTTATTGCAACTAAGTTCCTTATCGCGCGTTACACGCGCTGAGCGGATGGTATGAGACGGGCGAGACGACGAGGGATGGTTCGCTGGTTGTCCCGGCTGGAGGTTCTACGTGAACGAAGCGCTCCAGCCTGTCATCGTCGAGTGGTCAGAGCGTCAGCACGGGACCATCTCCTTCCAACTGACGCAGGTCATTTCCGGGCACGTCTGCTTCGGGAAGTAGTACGAGTAGTAAATTGAGACCCGCCTGGGTAATTTGCCCAGCTTTGGCGTCGCAGCGTCGGGTCCTCATTGCAGTCATCGGGGAGGATCTCTCGCTGCCGGCCGTGATACGCGTCATGGCCGGTAGCGACTGATGTTTCATTGCTGTCGCATTCTTCTGCGAAGATGTCATCACGCTGAAGGAGATTTTTTGACGGGCCCTGGAGGAAGATTGGCCCGGTGAACCGGGCGGCAGAGGTGCGCATTCCAGGGCCTCATGCCGCCCTGAGTGTTGATTAATAAAAGAGGTTTGTCAAAATTACTAATTTAAATTATAATATACACCGCTATTGGAATATTTAAAAATCACAAAGGTATATTTCAGGAAACGTTTAGTATTTTTTTCAATACAGATGTTGTATTAGGTACACTGAATAGTACCAAATTTTTTTTTTATGAATATTATTTTTTTGGTTCAAATTTGCCGCCCCTGGAATTTGATACCATAGGCTCCAGCCTTATCCGCCTGCTGGTAAATTCGCTACTGGTGCTAAATAAAAGTTCTTCAATATTTTCTCATAAAATTTATTTGTATTTAAAATAATACTTTTATTTTCTACTTTTATCCTAATGCAATAAAACCTCCTGACTTCAATACAACATGAAGAATTTATTACTCGAGGTAATATATAAATATAATAGCAATACTTAATTAAATCTGGGACAACACAAATCGCTATCCTATATACTATGAAATAAACATACGTAAATATTTGTAACAAATGCATTCCTCTATAACTTTGACGTTTCTTGTATGTACGTCATATAAACCGATGTTTCCTTGCTTGGTGTTTCCAAAACCACAAGACTAAATCACGCTGGTCAATAAATAAAGCATCCAGGCTTGGTATGCAATCAGTCAGTGTTCACCATCCACTGGGATATATTAAGTTATAGTGTCCTCGACTATTATATACAACTATTTAAGTTGCAATGGCCGGGTCACATAATTTAGTCCTCTTGATATCTGTTGTAAGTATAAATATAGATGTAACCGGTATATAGCTAATAAGTGTTTGTATGTGTTTATGTATAATACAGTTAATACATATATATAATACCTGCGTCGACACCCTTGCGCCATCACATTTGTCAAGCAATGCTGGTTAAGCCGGCGCTGCTGCTGCATCTGCAGAAACTCTAACTCTAAGAAAGAATTAGTAGGAAATTACGTTTTTGAACCGTTTGGGGTCGAAACGCTAGGGTCTCTGAAGTTAAAATGACAAAAATAATAACAACTCGACGAACGGTATTACCATAATACATTTTATATCTTTTTACAGGTTACTATGTTACCATCGATATATTCAATGCAAATACAGCGCTTGCCGTATATGCAGTTATCACAAAATGCCGGAACACAAGAATTATCGCATTCGTCTGTAGTTAAATATTCCGATTCACCAAGCTCTCAAGAGGGTGGTGTATTATATCTGGACAGAATTGGACAGCGAGAAAGAAGTAAGTAGAAATGTTATAAGTTATAAAACTATATTAATAATATTATGAAGCTGAATTTTTTTTGGTTGAAAGTGCCAACATAAAGTACCAGTCAAATTAGAAAAAATATTCTTAACTATTTTAGAAGGTCCAATTCTTGATTAAGGTTATAGATTTATTAGATGCTAAAAGGCATTCCACCCGTTCATTGTCAAACACTGAAAAGTTAAACTTAATATATTTAAGAGCTTCTTTCTCGAGTGCTTTGTGTCACCAATGTCTGTAACAAACTTGCATGTCTACTTTTTTGGTACTTTGAAAGAAATGACTAAAAAAATGTTGCTTCTTACAGTAACAATGGATAGTACCCTCATTCAACCAGATTCAAATGGTCCTATAGTACCAGAATCATGTAAACACTCCTATTGTGAAGAAGTGATCAACTACCCTGAAGAAGCCGTTAGCAGTCTTATCGCCACGGTAAGTTTTGTTTTGGAGTAGGTACAACATAATTATTGTGAGTTATTCAGTGTGAATGACGTTAAATGTATATACTAAAATGACCATGTCTTCGACAATTTAAACTTAAACGTCAAAATAAAACTCGTCTCAATAGGAATAGTTCATCAAGTAACTATTTTAAAAATTTAGTTTCAAACTCAAACTCAAACTCAAACTTTCTTTATTTCATAAAATTTCCAAAATTGTTTGAAATCGTCTTCCATGTAGACTCTAAAGTCATAGATCAACACACACAAAAGCAACAATCTCTGTTTTGTCAAATAGTAACCAAATAAATTTAACAAAAATCAAACCCATACAAAATCTATGATATGCCTGTGCCGATCTACAACCGCCCGTTTCCAAGGGGTTGAGCCTTATGAGAAGAAAGGGCAAACAAACTCATGGCCACTCTTTTGCAATTCACAAGTAGATACAATGGCACTTATTAAATATATCACAACATTGTTTTGATGTGTGCTAGTATGTCCGTTATTAAGGACTTCAAGGTGAAAAAACAACGAAGAGAAAACAAGATTAAGAAGAAAAACGAATACAAGAGAAAATGAAGTGAAACATAAAAAATAGAAAAAATAATAATAATAAAAAACATACTAGCCACACCACATTTTTACTTAAGAAAGAAATAGCCTGCGCTAATTAATCCCAAGCATTCTTGTCCTCCATGTAATCCACAATCGAGTAGTAGGCCCTCTGGCACAAGCCACGTTTTATTGCGGATTTAAATTTGTTAATACTCAACTCCTGAATATTATTTGGGATTTTATTATAAAATCGGACACATTGACCTCGAAAAGACTTGTTTATCTTTTGGAGCCTAGAGGCGGGTACAACAAATTTATTTTTATTTCTGGTATTTATGCATGCATGTACATGCATGCATAAATACCAGAAATTGAATGAATTGAATGTCGGCAGCATTCCCCCACAGCAGAATACCGTACGACATTATGCTATGAAAGTAACTGAAGTAAACAAGTCGTGCTGTATCAACATCAGTCAACTCTCGGATTTTCCTTACTGCGTATGCTGCTGAGCTGAGTCTACTCGACAATTTATCAATATGTGGGCCCCACTGTAGCTTAGCATCTAGTGTTATACCTAAAAATGTCGTAGTGTCCACAAGGTCCAGCCCGACATCCTTAATTATCACAGTAGTTTTCACTGGCTTGACGTTTGGCATAGTGAAACGTATACACTTAGTTTTTTGTTCATTTAATAGTAAATTGTTGACATCAAACCAATGAACCACTTTCGAAATGGCGCTGTTTACAAATGTGAAATCAGAAAGTGTCCGTTTTAGTCTAAATAATAGTGATGTATCATCTGCAAACAACACAATCTCGAGATTGTCCTTGACAAAGTGAGGTAAGTCGTTAATTTATACTAAAAACAAAAAAGGGCCGAGAATAGAACCCTGTGGAACGCCCATTTCTACCACAGAGCCTGGAGACCGCTCACCATTAATATCAACTTTTTGAATCCTATTACATAGATATGAGGCAAGTAGTTCCAGGGCTTTATTTTTGATACCATAGTGCTGTAATTTCCTGATCAGCGTTTCATGAACAACACAATCAAAAGCCTTAGATAAATCGCAAAAGATACCTAGAGAATCGTGGGCATCCTCCCAGGCATCAAATATATGTTTTACTAGCTCAACACTAGCATCAGTTGTGGAGCGACCCCTTGTAAAACCAAATTGTCTATTGTGCAATAAATTATTATTATTAAAAAAACTGTGCAATTGATCATACATAATTTTTTCAAAAATTTTACTAAATACTGGTAGTACTGAGATAGGTCTAAAGTTAGTTGGGTCAGATGTACTACCAGATTTGAATAAGGGAATAATTTTACTAGACTTCATAAGATCAGGAAATACACCACTATCAACACATTGATTAAATGTAAATGACAATTGATTAGCCACAAGAGATATAATTGTCTTAGTAATTAAAACAGAATTTCCCCATAGGTCGGTTGTTTTTTTAACATTAATAGTGTTAAAGGCTTTAATAATTTCAAAGGGGGACACATATTGGAACTTAAATTCACTATCAATTCTTCTAACATTCTCTTTTAAAATTGATTCTGCAAGGTATGGTGAGGAGTTCAAAGATTTAGTAGTTGATACAGGAATGTTAGTAAAAAAATTCTCAAATGCAGCAGCAACCTCAGCATTTGATGTGATAAATTTATTGTTTATGTTTAAATTAAATTCATTATCACGGTATTGATCTTTGCCAGTTTCACTATTAATAATTTTCCAAGTGGTTTTAATCTTATCATTACTACTTTTAATCTTTGAACTAATAAAACGAGACTTAGCCAGTTTACAAAGTTTCCTAAACAGCTTCGAATATTCTTTAACATAATTATGAAACTGTTCACTTTTATTATAATTCCTCTCATCGTATAGCTCGTATAATCTTTTCCTACTTTTGAGTAAGCCAGGGGTAGCCCATTCACTAAATGTGGCGTTACCTTTAACCACTAGCGTTTTTGGTGTAAAAATGGTGTTAAATGTTGAAGAGAAAGTTTCAAAAAAACTATTATAATAAGTATTAGGGTTATTCTCTACACAGAGTACTGAATTATTAAAAGCAGCTTTAAGTTTATCCTTAAAGTTTTCACAACGCTTTGCGGTTTTAGGTATCACCACAATTCTTTTTTCTGACAGTTTATTCTGAAAATGCTGTTTTGAAACCGGGAAGCGACAGGTGGCCTATGTTAACTAGTAATGACGAACATAAGAATAATCAAGCACAACAAAATTACTGTTCTCAAAATTTAAGTCATAACTTTTTTTTTTTTATTTGAATCGTTTTACTTATTGCGGCTAGTTTACGTATTTATTTACCTTCGAGAAATCCTTGGGTCGAGAATTCCGATAAATTCCTAGAATGGTCGAGACATGTTTATCTAAAGTTAACGTTTGACAGTAAAAAAAAAACCTGCACTTAACACTTCCTGGATTAAAAAATATTGTATGAGCAATTTTATTTCAACCCAAATTTTCTCTTTTTATCAGCTGGGAGAAGGCGTCAGTCTGCAGGTCGATAAATTGGATCAACCGGATTTTACTCAGAGGGTTTCCATTGATGGAAATATTGAACTTTGCGAAGCTCAAGAAACGGTTAGTATTGGTTATATTCTATGAAAAGGTGTTCAAATCAGGATTTTCTATACTTACCCACAGTAGCACGATACTGGTTAGTTTTATCCAAGTCAATTCCAGTGCATACCATGCTATGCTATTCTATAAGGTAGTTGGTACTTCCTTGGTCAAGCGAGCTTCACGTATATAATCCAGAAAAGCTCAACTATTTCTGTGTTTATGTTTTAAAATATGTGAAAAAGAAATCAATCAAAACAACAATAAGTTAGCTAAAGTTTACATTAGTTATGATTATTTCCCATTTAATTAATTAATTAATTTTCATCAATTAATAAAAAAATAATTGATTCTCTTGAATTATGTTTCTGATTCGTAACAATTTGCATAAGGAAGGTAAATGCTATTTAATAATGTCAGTTTCTTAAATGATTGCAGTGGAAAATAAATGCTTAAGCAACTAAAGGTTTAAAAACTAAGATGTTTGAAATACACAATGATATAGTGAACTGTATCTATTTTTAATTTTTCAGTTGGTGTACCCAAGAGCTGGCATCGGTTATGATAACAAACAGCACTTTCTAGTGAACGGAAAAAGTGAGAGAAATAAGGTACAAGGCTTTAGAGTGCAAAGTTGCCTGTAAGTATACAAATCACACTTTCAACATAGAAATGGTATATTAGGTCTTTACCTATGAAATTGCCGTTTTGTAAGCAATAAGTGAAAGTACTTATTTTTTCAAACTTTTTTATTTCTGTTATTCGAAGTAATCACCCATGCTATCGACGCATCTTTGCCAACGTATTGGCAGTTTATTGATTGATTGAGTTGATTGATATTCTTGTAAAAATCAGCTGGACGGGAGGCAACAAACTCTTCAAAGGCATTTTGTACTGCCTCTCGGGAATTGAATTTTTTACCCACTAAAAAGTTGTCTAAATTTTGGAAAAAGTAATAGTCGGTAGGTTCAAGGTCTGGTGGTCACATCTGCAACCAGCTTTGGTCAATCGGTCGTCCCCACTGCGCCTTTACGACAGCGCGCGACCCCATACTGCGCAACAGACAGTCTCCAAGCTGCAAGAGCTGGTTTGGAAGCTCATCCGTCATACTCACCATTGATGGTGATTACTTCGAATAACAGAAATAAAAAAGTTTAAAAAAATAAGTACTTTCACTTATTGCATACAAAACGGTAATTTCATAGGTAAAGACCTAATATATAGGTGCATAGCCTGAATGGATTCTTGTTAGTAGTTACAACTATTTCGAACTCTCAATTTATACAGCTTATATACACAGGACACAACAGCACTGCAAACAGAAGGAAAACTTGAAACATACTTTATACCAACCCGTCTAGCCAGCTTGGTATAGTAGGCCAAAACCTCTTTCTAAGGAGAGGCAGCAGTGGACTATTAAAGGCTGTTGATGATGATAATGACGATTTACTATTTGTGCGTCAATTGGGAGCTTTGGGAATTAGATGGGAAAATTAAGGGTTAACTGTAAGAAAAAATCTAAGACGGAAAGAAAATGGTAGAAATTAGGGAGTATGGGCAATAGCCTAAATAGGTCAGCTAAGGATAAAACACGAGCACAACGAGACTGCCTTGATGGTTCAGTGGAAGCGTATGCGTTTGCTGGGCCGAGGTCTCGGGTTCGATTCCCGGGTCGGACCAAATGTTTATATAATCTGCAAATATTTGTTTCGGCGTTAGTGTTTTCTATGTAAAATATGTATTTACAAAGATAATATTCTACCAGTCATTCTAGATTTCATAGTACAAGCTCTGCTTAGTTTAAGACTAGATGGCGTTGTTTATTAGATGTCAAAAAATGTTATTAGATTTTTATTGTAAGTCGCACTGACTGTTATTAGGAAGTATGACTAGGACTCGTGTATGCCATGGGATGACTTCAATCAAAAACTTTGTTAAGTTACGTTTTTAATTAACGTATTATTTTTATTTTAGTTTTTGTCTATATTCCTTTCTCAGGGCAACAGAATGCCAGTGTAATAGAGTTGTTGTTGGTTATCAAGACGGGTACAGGGGACGCTGTAAACAGTTCTATGTTTATCGCACGGCCACAGCTTTCATAATGACAAACAGCACACACGCAGAACAATACCAGGTACAAATAAAGTTGCCCGGTTATTGTGCATGCATAGCCGAACCTTGTATCGAGTAAGTATGAAATATTATTATAATCGTTTCCTTTTAGATTTATTTAAGACTCATTTAGACTAAATTGAATAATTTTGAAATATGTGCATATTTCAAAATTATTCAATTTAAAAATTAAAAAGGTCCATAATTGATATATTTAAATTTCGAGCACCGTAAAATATTTTAAAAGAAAACTTAATTTCATTCTCCTATTTCTCAACAATGATTCTTCAATACTCTACTATAGTATCTCTATGAAATGTAATTTTTTTCTGTTTGCAGGGATTGCGATGATATGCAATAGTTGGACAGATCATACTGGTAACATAAAAGTTTCTAAAAGTCAAGACTACCGCGTTTAGAATTGATGTATCTAAACAAAGGCAATTATTAAGCAAGGAAAATATTTATTATTATTATTTTACAATCGTTTTCGTTTTGAATTTAATAGTGTCTGGATCATGATCAAGATTGACATTAAAACAGTTTTATTGAATATAACTGAAGTAGGTAATTTAATAAAAATGGTTGTGATTATTAAATATTAAGTATCTATAGTTATTGTTTATAAGTAAACTTATTGTGTTGTCTAAAAATTGAGTTTCATTTTGATACTTTTACTTAGATGGATACTGCATGGATATTTCATTTAAAATATTTATTGTTTAACCAATGTCACATGTGGCTTTATGTGTAAAGGTCATTGAGCCTAATGCCGTGTATATATATTTTTTTATTAGTATTGAAATCGACTGTCTGCACAAGCATACAGTCAATTTATACGAATATGAAGATACACGTATTACAGTGAGTTTTTTCTGTTAGTTGTTAGGAGTTAATACGTCATATTTACGCCAGAAATATGGCGTGCGAGGTTATTGCTAAAATGTGATGTTATATTAAACTCAATTGTAAAACTTTCTGTTTTACAATTCAGTTTGTGAAACCGCATTGAGAGATTTGTTCATGTTCAAGTTGACAATCGTATTTGTCACTGTTGGGATGATGATCCAATTCTAAATTAGATTATGAAATCAAACCATCAATAATCAAATCAAATCAAATCTTTATTTGCCAACCAAGTGTACATCAATGATCTTATAATATTATATGTAGTAGTCCCAACTTAGAAGCCTTTTCCAGGCATTGCAAAATTTGAGAGAGAATGCAGAAGAATAAATTGTTACACAAGTACAAGCATTTTTTGAACAATACAAATTAAGTGACTCAATAGTACAGTATAACAATCGAACAAACCATGCAAAAATACGAAGCGTGCAATAATTTACATTATAATCAATACATAACAACAATAAAAAGCATTAGCTGACAAAATTTCAAGTTTGTAGCCCCAGTGGTTTGGGCTCTGCATTGGTGAATAAGTCAGCAAGCGCAAATATTTGTATACAAATATTAGTAATGTCAAAATAATAGGGTTTTTTCATGCTCACGATACCTATGCCTAAAAACCAGTTTAAACATTTTTTGTCTGTCTGTCTGTACGTCTGTTTGTTCCGGGTAACCTTCAAAAAGACTGGACCGACTGTATTATTCGACTGGCAGCCACTGCTCCTTGGCTATGTGTACGACTTCAGGACAAGTCTCATGTTCGGCTACCTTGGTCGAACAGGTGACAATTAGAATATTATAATCAAAGTCAATTTCAAGGGAACTATTTTTTATATTTCAATAATTTAATTAACTAGTAGTACTAAATAAATCTAAAACAAGGCTTACTAGAAGTAGAAGACTGCATTAACTTGTACTAATATCTAGAACACAAACTAAATTATATTAATAGATGATACATACGGCAAATAACGCAACCATTAATAGTTTACATTTTATTAAATGTGTTCATTTCGTTTATTGAAGTTACAATTATTATGTGAATCAAAAGCATTGTAGCAGCCGTCGAGCGGCAGATCCCCTATATAGTTGGTTAATAATTTGAGTGATAATCACAGGTCGGAGTAGGTAGATTGATTGATACTCATGGACAGTGTTTTGCAATTTACAGATTAATATAATGACATCATTAAATATACCACAACATTGTGCCAATGTGTGCAAGTATGTCCGTTATTAAGGAATAAAAGAGAAAAAGAAGATTAGGAAAAAAGATCAAATAAAAGAGAAATTGAAGTGAAACATATTTATTATTTTATATCTTTTTTTGCAACGTACTTTTGTTACACTGGAATGAATTTTCTTGAAAAAATAAAACAAACAACAAATTTTAAATATGTATATCGTCTTGGAATAAAGTGTGTACAGATTTTCACTTGTTTGCACACTACTCCTCAACAAAGCGTCCAAATAACCTGTAAAGGTCTATAGGAATGTCTAGAAGTAACCAAAAAGTAATATTCATCAGATAATTTAAAATCATCTAATTCATCTAGTAACATAGTATGTACTCGTATATTATAGTTTGTAATTCAATTCTGACAAAAGCGTAATGTTCGGGAAAAAGGCATGCCCTTGTTAAGACATCATGATGCAATTTTAAATGCGAGTACTTTATAATCAATATACCTACCTACTCCGTCCTCCGTCCGTATAATATTATGATTTTGCGGTAAAAAATACTTTTAACTGATTTAAAAATTCATTAAGAGTTCTGACTGTAACATTTTTTTTTTCTCGATAAATATCAAGAATGTGCAAATGTCCTGAGCTCACAGGCGTTTACACTGAAAATGAGCGATTGAAAACAAGAGCTTATTTGTTACTTGCTTTTCCCCGCTTATTTCCTTTTTCAAGAATTAAAGTATCTCCATACCAAATTTGATTAAAATCGGTTCAACGGTTTGAGTCCAAGTGTAACAGTATTAAACATGTGGATGTTGTCAACCCTGCTGATTGGTAGGTAAATGATTTCAGGCCACAAAAATGTGGAATTAGATCACCCAGGTATTATCACTTGGGAGACGCAAGTTGTAATAACAAAGAAAACAATATTTACGTCATTATTCAACCATATTCGTTCCTAACAATCATTAACAGCCTCTAATAGTCCACTGTTAGACATAGGCCTCTTCTTAGAATGGAGGTTTTAGCCTACTAGATAACGCTGGCCTGACAGGTTAGTACAGGGTTTGTTTCAAGTTTAGCAATAAAAGAAGGAGAGAAAGAACAAGAAGAACACGCGCCAGGGACAAAGACAGGGGCGGTATTCTCTTCGCTCCCCCTCCCCCTCCCACGCCTGTACCTAGCCTTACAATATTAGTCCCCTCTGCGTCTGCCCCCTCATACAATGGATGGCAGGTAGTCGATAAGAAGTCAATCAATAAGAAGTCTCGAAGGCGGGGCAAGAAAGCTGCCCTAAAGTCAGCCTCTACCCAGCAGTTGTTGATGCCAAGGCGAAAGCCGATTTCCTAAGCGAACTCTTTGCATCCAACTCGACTTTGGATGATAATAATATATATATATAATATAATAATATATTTATTTGCAGAAAATGTGGTAGTCACAGTAGGTGGTTTACAATGTTTAAAGCACAAGACACATTTCGCTATATTTAGATAGCATGCAAATTTTTAAAATTGTACAGGTAAAATTATGAAGTAAAATAAAAATGAAATTACATTACATTGCAATTGAAATATCAAAAATCATATTAAAAATAATTACTACACTAATGCATTTCTGAAGTGATATGACTGAGTAGAGTACTTTTTAAAAAAATCATTGACGGAGTAAAAGCACTCTGCTATTAGCCAATTTTTTAATGAAGTACAAAATCTGTGATAAGGAAGAGTTGCAATATTCTCCGGCAACGCGTTATAGATAAGTGGTGCTATGTAAACACAGCTCACCCTAAAAAATTCTAGGCGAGGTACTGGTAATTTTAAATACGAGTGAGTATTTTTACGTTTGTTGGTATTGTCCTTGACTTCAAAGAGCTCTTTATTGCACTTCACGAATTTAGCTACTTCGTAGATGAATATGCCAGGGACGGTCAACAGATTATGAGATACAAAAACAGGCTTGAATGAATCTGTCCATTTCAAACCGAATATTGAAGCGATTTCTTTTGTGCTAAAAATACTCGCGTTATTTCTGATGAGTAACCCCAAACAATAATGCCGTAACGAATTATGGAGCAAACATATGCATGGTAGACCATTAAAGCAGTCTCCCTTGAAGCAACCTCTTTGACTTTTTTTAATGCAAACACAAACTTATTCATCTTTTTGCAAACTATGTGATACTTCCACGTCAGATGTTCGTCCACTGTAACACCTAGAAATTTTGTGCTCTGTATTTGTTCTATTTCTTGATCATTAAATTTAACTGAAATATCAAATTGTCTTGTTTTTACTGTTCTGAAATGAATAAGTTTTGTTTTATCTATATTAATTTTTAAATGATTCGTATCAAGCCATTTGATGATATTCTGAAGTGTCTCATTTACTTCATGTTCACATGAATTTAAATTATTACCACTTATTAACACTGTAGTATCGTCGTCAAATAGTACAGATTTGCGATTTTACATTGCTTGAGGGAGATCATTGATGTAAATAAGAAATAGTAATGGCCCCAAAATACTCCCTTGCGGTACTCCGTATGATGGGGGATACATACCACCGACCATACCGCGGTGCCAGAGCTGTATGCCGGAAATCCGGTTTACACAGAAATCAGTGCGTAGAGCACTCTTTTTCCTCGATATTCATAAGTCGAGTGGGCCCGATGGAATCATCCCTGTCGTGCTGAAAACGTATGCTCCAGAGTTGGCACTGGTTTTAACTCGCCTTTTTTGTGCATCCGATCCCTAAAAAAGGTGACTGTTCTGATCCGTCCAACTACAGGCCTATAGCCATAACTCCCTTGTCCTCTAAGGTTATGGAATCCTTTTTTTTTTACGGGGGGAAATCCTCATGGACTACCTCCGCCTGGGGAAAGGCGGAGGGGCGTGCCGGACTCTTACCGGCTAAAATCACCCCGGTGTCCCCTCACACAGCGGGGCCGCGGGAATCCAAATTCTTCCGCAGCCCCACACTAGTGCTGACCCGGTCTGTCCGGGCCTCGTCTCCTGCACGGGGTAGTGAGGTGTTTAGCTACCCTGGGCATCGCGCGCGGATGTCGGCGCGCGCCTCGGGTCCATCGAATAGGGGAGCGGGGACTTCCCCAAGTCCCTCGCCCCTGGACCCATTCATGGGGGCCGGAAAAGGGCGTTGTCCGCCCTTCTCCTGCGCCCGGTGCGCCTTCTGCGGCCGGGGAAAGGAGTCGAGATCTCCCTCTCCCGTTCCGCAGTTTCCTTTTGCGACATCACGTCCTCGCAGAAGGACATCA